GTATAATTTGTGGAGGGGAAGGGAAAAAACAAATTGTTTAAATAGGTATACAGATGGACCCATTGCATAAATGAGATGTACAAGACGCTATGTCGAAAACAAACTTTACAATGGAGGCGGGAGTAGCTGAGGAGGTGGGAGGGAAGGGATGGTAGGGGAAAAACAAAGGAGGAGGCAACAATGCTTGATAAGAAATGTACTCATTTCCTTGCTCATGTAACTATAACCCCTCTGTACAGTATTTTCACAATAAAAAAAAGAATAGGCAAGAAGTTTAGCAAGACCTTATTTCAACAAAAACACTGGGTGTATTGGCACATAGGTGTCTTCCAAGGATGATATATGTGGGATAGTTAGAATGAGCATAGTCTAGAATAACCCAGTCCAAATACACACACACACACACACACACACACACACACACACACACACACACACACGACACGACCCCATCTAAAAAGTAAAACAAAAGTGGCTGGGTGTATGCCTCAAACAGTATAGCACTTGCCTAGAAAATGCAAGATATTGAGTTAGGTACAATAGTGTATACCTGTAATCCCAGCTATGTGGGAGGTAGAGTTGGGAAGACCACAATTGAAGGCACAAGTTAGTAAAACTCTATCTCAAAAACAAGCAAGGTGTGTTGTGGTATTTTCCTATAATCCTACATAGGGCAGGAAGCAGAGGTAGGAAGAGTACACGGTCAAAGCTATGGATATGGCTACTAGTAGAGCACCTGCCAGCAAATTTAAGGCCTTAATTTCAATGCCAAGTACTATAAAAAAAAAAAAAAAAAAAGACCAAAGGATGCTGAAAGGTAGAAAGAGGAAGTTCATTTGAGTTCCTGGAATCAGCAGGATTGTAACACAAGGTAATGAATTTGCCTATGTGTTTCAGCCTCTTACAGTAGGATCCAATAGTAGCAATCAAGAGTTTTCTGGCTAATATATTGGTATGCTGAAACTTTGTATACTTAAATACAAAGATGTTAAAATGAGAGGCCTGTCTATCTATGAGGTGTTGCACTAGTAACCACTATTAACCAGTTGCCCTACTAATAGGCAGGGCATATTTTCAATGACTCCGCTAAAACAATAGCAATATATAATAAATTTAGAAAAATTACAAAACAGAACAGCAAGAAAAAGTGAACAATAGTCAAGGGCATTGGCACACACCTATAATCCCAACTATATTGGAGGTCTCAAGTAGGAAATAGTCCAAGGCTGGTCACAAAACACCAAGACCCTATATAAAAAAGCAACTCTCCCTCCTAAAGGGGGCTTGGATGTGTGTCTCAAGTATAGGATGACTGCCAAGAAAGCACAAGGCCATGAGTTCAAACTTCTTCAATAAATACCTAAATAAGAGAATTAAAAACATTCAGAATTGACTTAAAGATCAACAGAGTTTGCACAGGAGCTCTTAGCAATACCAAGGTTAACTTTCCTACGCTCCTAGACAGAATCCATACCAGAACAGACACTATTAAGACTTGCTACACAGATGACAGAGCGGGAGAAGCTACAGAGAAAGCACAGGAAAGACACCAAAGCACTAGTTCTCAACATGGCCAGTACTCAAATGGTGGGTAAAGAAGCTGTAACAGGCGACGGCCCTTTAAAGCACCCACAGGAGCCAGGGCTGATGACTGTCATAGAGCTAACCCACCATGGCACTCTGGACTTCTATCAAAATCCATGAGGTGCTAAACTGAGAGTCATGCCAGTTCTTACTATGTAAGAATTCCCATTTTTGCCTCCAAAGACTGAGTCTGTGATTCTGCTTTAAAGCAGTCTGATTCTTCTCTTCTGAGGAGGTCCATCCTGGATCGCGTTGGCTCATACAGGTGGAATTCCAGTGGGCTTTTGGTTTGTCAGGTATCCTTAAGAATAGGAAACATAGTAATGAATACAGCTTAGGCTGAAGCTCTTCTATCTGCATTTTTTTTCTTCTAATATTAACATGATAAATAGAAGCTGCCAAGTTGAAGGCATGCTTGCAGAACTATTATCCTAGTTCTTGGCTTACCATCAATAAGAACTCTTTCAAGATGCTGCCATCTGTGAGGGTTAACTTCCTAAAGACAAAGACCATCAAAGGAGAGGAAAATGCATAAACCTTCAAATCTCATCAGGTCTTCTTAAAGTTAAGTCCAAAATTCAATAAGCAAAAGATTTCTTATCCCTCCCTTCTGCATTTCTCTGAAAGCATTCAGCCCCAATAATAGTTACAATAACAGAGATGTTTCAAGTTAGTTCTACTTTTTGAAAAGTAAAAGGTAACAGAAAATACCTTTTATATTGCCATGCTTAAGCCTTATTTGACACATAAGAAAAAATCAAAATCAATCTTTGACCATCCAATAGTCATTCTTTATTTTATTTTAGTTGGTCGTGGGGCTTGAACTCTGGGCCTGGGAGCTGTCCCTGAGTTCTTCAGCTCAAGGCAAGTGCTCTAGCACTACCACTTGCCTTGAGTTTTCAGGTGGTTAACTGCCCAAGCTAGCTTTGAATTGTAATCCTCAGATCTCAGCCTCCAGGGTAGCTAGGATTACAGGTGTGAGCCACTGGCACCCAGCTTAGTCATTCTTTAAATATCCAGTTGTTAACAACAAAAGTATAGGGGAAGACTCTTCCTCACTCTTTCTATAATAGAAACATGAAGTTTCTCCTATGTTGAAGAGCATTATGGATGAAACTAGAAAGTCTCCCTTGAATCAAACACTAAACACCAGTAAACATGATTTAACAAATTGTATAATGGGGCCTGAGAAATTTTCTTTTTTTTTTTTTTTTGGTCAGTCATGGAGCCTGAACTCTGGGCCTGGGCGCTGTCCTTCAGCTCTTCAGCTCAAGGCTAGCACTCTACCAACTTGAGCCACAGCACTACTGCCGGCTTTTTCTGCTTATGTGGTGCTGAGGAATCGAACCCAGGGCCTCATGCACACAAGGCAAGCACTCTACTACTGAGCCACCTTCCCAGACCTGAGAAATTTTCTTAATCTAAAAATTCTGTTGTCATAATAGTAGTTGTCACCTATAATCAAATAGCAATATTAAAAGGAATGAGGAAATCTCTAAGTAATATTCCCCAAAGTAGAAAGAATACTTGTAATGAATGTAGTTGGTTAGGAACCAGAAAGAATATCAGAAGCTTCCTAAACAAAAGGAGGCTAAGATTCAGAGTGAAAGTACCTTAGTCATTCTTCAGACATGGAGGTGAGATCTCTTGAGCTTAGACCCAACAACAAAAGCTTATTTCTCACTCAGCAATTAAAACAGTAGTACATAGTATCCATACACACATATTAGGTGAATACTGAGTGACATTCAAGATATATTGTTTATAGAATACACTGTTTATTGAAGAGTATCTTCCAATATTTTTGAGTTGTATAGACTCATGCTTGCCTCTGTGTAACAGTTTGCAGATTAAGAAGACACCGGCTACCATGAATCTGTCTACTGGGATTTCTTTCCAGCACCCAGCAACTCCGCCACATAGGTACCTGCTGCACTTAGATTAGGTGTGCATCTAGTCAACATTTTATTTGTCATCCTGCTAACACTTTGTTGTTTGCATCTTTCTCAGCAAGAAATCCATGGAGCGTCACTTTTTTTTTTATGTTGGTCATGGGGCCTGGGTGCTGTCCCTCAGCTCTTCGGCTCAAGGCTAGCACTCTACCACTTGAGCCATAACACCACTTCCGGCTTTTTCTGTTTATGTGGTGCTGAGGAATCGAACCCAGGGCCTCATGCATACAAGGCAAGCACTCTACCACTGAGCCACCTTCCCAGCCCTCCACAGAGTTTCTTAACAAGGATTTTTACCTGTAGTGAACCCATTGTAGATATAACCCTGAAAATACGGACCTCTTGTTTGGGAGAGCCAGAGCACAAGCAGGGTATCTAGTTTACCATAATTGATTTAAGCCCTCATAGTTTAGCCAGGACTTTCATTACTCAAACCACATTAAGAAAACTTAACAGTAAAAGAGAAGACATGTTTTTAAATAAATATCCATATATAATCAGAAAACATGAGTATCTTATAAACAGTGGGAAACCTCATGCATTTAGAAACATGTTGGGACAGTTTTTACACACACACACAGCCTTTTAGGCTTAAAGCAAATTGGGAATTATAATGAAGTAACTGGGCCTTTATGAAGAACTTAAAAAGAGTGCCAAATTTGGGCTGTAGATCTAGCTTAGTGACATTAGGTTCTCCAACCCTCATTGTAAGTTTTTATTTGAAAATGAACGTCTGTGGCCTGACACCAACTGCTTTCTGCTAGTCCTGTTAAGATAAAAAGTTAAGTAAAATAAAGACAGTGGAAACCTATAAGATTAGGGAGAAATTCCCAACAATAAAAATAATGAGATTAAACTGAGAACCAGTGTCTCATGCCTGTAATCATAGCTACTCAGGAGGCTGAGATCTGAGGATATAGGTTCAAAGCCAGCCCGGGCAGTAACCACCACAAAAGCTGGAAGTGGCGCTGTGGCTCAACTGATAGAGCACCAGCCTTGAGGACAAAACTCAGTGCCCAGGCCCTGAGTTCAAGCCCCAGGACCAGCAAAAATATAATAATAATAATAATAATGAAAGATGAGATAAATTGTCTGCATTTGCATCAAAAGTGTGCTTTGGTATGAGTTCCTCCAAGAAAGTCTCTAAGTTTTGTGGAAATCTAAGGAACTATATTTATGTTTTTCAGCATGGTGGTTTTGAGGTTTGTTTGTTTTCTGAGGGGGAAGAACTGTGAGCTAAGAAGGAACTGGGGTGAAAATCCATGGCAGGCCCAATACCAGGTCCAGCTTCATCGTCAGCTCTGAAGTCCAGAGAAGCAACCTCCAGGCGCGAAATCCAAGGCGGCCCCGCCTCTCCCCAGCCCTCTCCCTTCCACAACATGGCGGCCCCGGCGACACTGTGGGCGCGCCACGCGAAGCACTCTGGGAGCGGAAAAAAGGCTGCGCAGCGACCACCGGACCGGAAGAGGAGGAGCTAGGCCTGGAGGATCCGCCGGTTGTCGCGGTCGCTCCCGCCGTCGGTGTCTGCGGGTCGCCAAGAGCCAGGCCTGGCGGGCGGGGTTGGTCGCGATGCCGGAGTTGGCGGTGCAGAAGGTGGTGGTCCACCCCCTGGTGCTGCTCAGTGTGGTGGATCATTTCAACCGGTGAGCGGGCGGCGAGGGACGGCCTGGCGTCCGGGCGCTGGGGCTGCTGAGTCACCGGCGCGCTGGGGACGGGCACAGGCGCGGCGGCCCTCGGCTGCGGGAGCCGGCGGCCGGGCCCAGCCTGCGCTCCGGAGCTCGGGGCTGCCGGCTGGTGTACGGAACCCCGGGCGATGCCGGGGGATGGCGGCGAGCAAATTCCAATTGACTCTGACCTCGCGCACACACACGCGCGCGCGCACACACACGTCCCAGGCTCCTGCCACCCGCCACACGCCCGCCCCTTTTCCCCAGCAAAGACCCGGCACTTCCGCCTGGCGCTCAGGTGGCCCGCAGGGAGAAAGCTGTCACCGAGATTCGGGGCCTCCTGGAATGGGGAGGAAGAAGGGCGGTTTCCATTCATGAAATGTCTTTCGTGGGAATCGGGTCTGATGCTATCACGAAAACGTATAGACGAGGTGTGTCAGTTCTGGGCGTTACTGAATCCGGTGGGAGAACATCCCACAGAGCGCCCGGTGGGTGAGCTTTTGTTGTTTCTTGTGTTTGTTATTGACGGGGTTTTTTTTTTTTTTTTTTTTTCCTCCCCTCTTGGAAGCTGTTCATCCAGCTAGACCTGTTGCACTTGTTCAGAAGTTTCACAAGATAATTTTACTTGAATGAACATGTAAAGATCTCGTATATTTAAAAAAAAAAAAAAAGTAAAAATACCTGCTGTAAAGTCGTGGCTGCCTATCCCCTCCCAACCCCCCAATTCTCCTGAACCTTACTTAGTGCAACCAGAAACAAACAAGAGTGAGGTTTATGGTCTCCAGTTCCGCCGTTCAGCAGGATATGTGGGCTTTTCCACTGTACAGTAATTAGTAGAACCCATGGGATTCTAGGGGTTCTGATGGGGCATAGCCCAAGCAGATGCTGCCAGCTGCGGTGTCACATAACAAGTGTAGGCTTTTAATAGGTGGAGATATGGGGAAACTCAGTGTTAGAAGTGTTTGCAGTTAATTTCAAAGAAAAATAGTAACCATGAAGAATACAAAATCCTTGATTTTGTTCCAAACCCCAGATTTAGTGAACAGTTGGTAGACTTGCTAAGATATGTGCCTTTAAAAAAAATGTTTCAGTTAAAACCAGTGTGAAACTGGAGGCTAGTTAAGGAATTGTGGTTGCATTTTATGCTGGCTTTTGTTTGTTCTTAGCAGAGAACTGCATTTCTGTGTCTTATATTTGCTTAAGGTGATTTCCTGAAGATGCGTGACAAGAAGGGTGATTCACTATTGCTCTCTAGAAAGAAATCACTGAGGAGGTTTGAATTGGAGCTCATCATCCTGATTCTTATTCATCCAGCCTCCCTGTCAACTCCCTTCTGCCTTGTGCCTGATAAAGCGCATGTACTGGCACTTGTCGATATGGAGCAGATGTTCCACAAAAGAATTGGCAACATGGAAGCCATACCATAAAAACTGAGACCACTCTAGCAGCTTTGGCCCCAAAAAGATCTGGGGATAGGAAAAAAGTGTAGAGATGGGAAAGCTGCAAAGAAAAAAATTTAAGTCACTTTTTTCTAAGCATGTATTACTTTGCAGCCAATGGTAAATAAAAATTGCTAGTGTGCAGTAGTACAAAGTACGTGAGTCACTCCTCATGTGTACTAGGGTTAGGGTAGGTAGGTTAGGTAGCCAGTCCTACCCTAACCCTGTTACATTTATTTAGGCTGATTTGTTCCAGGGTAAATTGTTCAACTGTTGATAATCTGCCACCAAGTATCTAACGGTTAGATCCACTATGCAGACTGATCCGCCTGTTTCCTCACTTAGAATCGGCAAGGTTGGAAACCAGAAGCGGGTTGTTGGTGTGCTTTTGGGATCTTGGCAAAAGAAAATCCTTGATGTATCCAACAGTTTTGCAGGTAAAAAGCAACCTTTACATTTATCTAAGCACTATTATCTTCTTTTTCTTTCTTTTCCTTCTTTTTTTTTTTTTGAAAATTGTAACAAGGATTTCTTTTTAGAATAACTGGGTTAAATTAGGGAGAAATGGATAAGAGAGAAATGTCCTGTACCCCATAAAGTCTCCTTTGAGTTTACTTTTGGTTATCACTACACCAGATGGTAAACGTTATAGTTAGGCTGTATGGTCTCCATTGTTCATTCTCTTCTCTTCTGTTGGAATGCTGGTGCACTGCAGACAGACAAAAAACAAGTAGGGCCATGTTTTAGCACCTTCCTTAAACTTTCAACCGTGGCTATTGGAAATCTTTAGTCTTACAATTTGAATCATGAATTGTTGCAAGAACTTTACTTTTAGGACCATGTATTGTTTTCGTGATCAAAGTTGCAACAAGAAAAAAGAAATAAAGAATTGCTGGCATGACCTGATTAGAGATCATGAATCCCACTGTCAGAAAGAATTGGCCAGCAGAGTGATCATCTAATGGAAGATATTAGAAAGTGATGGGGTGCTTAGAAGATGAAAAGCATGTGGCCAGTTTATAGAAAAGCTGGAAATCTGGAACTTTTACATAAATTCTCATTTTTTAAATGAGGGCAACTAAAAAATATACTATGTTGTACAACAGAGGGGCCTATCAGCTGCACTAGACATAGATGAAAATGAACTAAGCAACTCAAAAGCAGTGGTGGGAGGGGGGGATGAGAGAGAAAGAGGGAACTGCTTACATTAAGCAAAAGGAAAGAAATATAAACACTACGTGATGTAGAAGAAATAGTTGTATTGTCAAAGCTCATAGAATTCACAAGCTTGATAGACCATGATAATAACAACTTGCCTTGTGAAGGTTAAAAGTGTATTTGTGACTTTAAGTATCACTATTCTACAATACTGTAATATATGTATGTAATATATGTAATGTCAATAAAAATTTTAAATATATATGTGCTATGTTGGACAAATAAAACACAAAAAAATGAGTTAGATTTGGCCTAGGGAATCTACCCTTCTGACGGCTGTGCTTTATTTAGCATCATAAACTAAATTTTAATGTTTTTTTTTTTCTTAGTCCCTTTTGATGAAGATGACAAAGATGATTCTGTCTGGTTTTTAGACCATGATTATTTGGAAAACATGTATGGAATGTTTAAGAAGGTCAATGGTAAGTCTTGACTTTCTGTAGTGTGATGGCAGGATATTGAATTATATGTCTGTGTTTCTTTTTTGTTTAAGGTCAAGGGACCTTTCACTTGCTAGACTTAAGTGTAAAGGAATGAGTTAAAAATAAATGAGAAACTAGAATGCTGGCTTACAAGCCAGGTAGACCACCTAGTTTGAGGGTGGAGCTAGTCCTCTGACTGCAGCAGAAGAACAAAACACTAGCTAATAAAATCTACCTGTCCCTCATACTTGAGCAAGAGAGTTGTCTGTCTGTTATATCACTTGGATTTTATTTCATTTACAGCAACTACATTGCTTTGGATATAGTTAGTCCCACAACACTTATAACTGCCATGTATATGTTGTGAACTTTCAGTTACTCTTACATGGCCTTGGGATTGTTCTCTAGTTTTTTGACATATGACCAGTCAACTAAACTAATTTGGGGTATTCATGTCTCCAGATCACACACTGCTTGTTTTCCAAGAATTGTTTTAGAGTTTTCGGTTTCACAGTAGGATAAAATAAGTCAAGGGATTTTCAAAAATGCTGATGTCCTTATCCTTCTTGAGCTGCTTCTGTCAATCTTCATGAACTGATTTGAGCCTACTAAAGTTTTTTCTTCTTCCCAGCCAGAGAAAGAATAGTTGGGTGGTACCACACAGGCCCTAAACTACACAAGAATGACATTGCCATCAATGAACTCATGAAAAGATACTGCCCTAACTCAGTAAGTACTCTCTTTGCCCACTAACTCAAATAAGAGTATCCTAGAAACAATTTGGATAGGAAATCCTTCCATGGCTTTGTAATAAATTTGAGCTCTCCTGATTTCTTCTGTTTAACCACACTATACACCACAACAAATGACAGGCTCATTTGAAATATAAACTCATTTTATGGCTTGTCTAACTGAATGAATGAAATAATTTCAGCAGTCAGGAAAAAGGCTGACATGATCCGTTAATTCCAGTGTGATATTTGCTAAGCTGTGTTTCTCTGCCAGGTATTGGTCATTATTGATGTGAAACCAAAGGACCTGGGGCTGCCCACTGAAGCGTATATATCAGTGGAAGAGGTTCATGATGTAAGTTATCTTTCTGTGCATGCAGGTTTAGTGGGGAGTTTCTCATTTTCAAGTCGACAAATCCTTTGTCTGTAACAAAGAGGACATTGATTTCTGCTGCCAGTTTTGATCTTGAATTTTTTAATTGTCAAACTTTAGAAATAACAGACGATAAGAGAAATCTAAGATGCCCAGTTAGAGAGTTTGGGGCATTATTCCTCATCTAATAGGATCTCCATTCTTGTTGAGCCTATTCTTTGTCAGTATTCTCTTCTTCTTTGAGGTTTTAAATTCTTTCCTACAGTTAGTCAGAGCTGCCAAGACCCAGATGGCAAAATCCAAAGAGTTGAGGGATGGATTGCAGTCTGCTTTTGGATTTAGATATATGGTATTTATCCTTAATGTGTTGTAAAATTTGGAAAAGGCTATTAAAGAGTACCTTCCTGCCAGTGTTCTTACACTAAGCCCTAGCCTTCTGTTTTTTCTTGAGGGTTGGAAGGGGGAGGATTGTAGCCAAATGTATTGCCTAGTTGCAATCAGGCTTTTATCTCTGAGAGGTTGTTGGCTTTTTTTTTTTAGTTAATTTTTAGTGCTGCCTCTTTAGAAAAGGAATTTGGAGCTACTCTCATCTAAGAAGCAAGCATTTCAGTAGAGGATGAAAAGAGCACATGGCTAGGCAGAGCTTTCCATGAATTCCTAAAGACTGCAAGGCTCAAACCATCCTTGTGTCCAAAGCAGGAGGGTGGGGGGTGCCTGGTAGATGATTGACACCATCCTGAGAAAGATAAGAGCTAATTTGTATAGCACATCGTTGAATGACATACCCAAGACCCCTCAGCTCCCTTATCACATGCCCTTAACACCGATGGTATTCTCTCATTCTGAACAAATCACAGCCCCCCCATCCCAGCAGTCTGGCCACTGAACCCCTCACAGACTTTTGTACCACCTTTACAGATGTGCAGCTTCTGGCTCTAGGCCTAAGAACAGTGCTCTCCACTCCCATCAAAACATCATTAAGCTGTCCAGAGATCCAGATCATTCCCCAACAGATCACTAAAGCATACCACCAGCTACTCAGATTGTAGGCTTTCCACAGAAACAATTTAGAGGTCAGTGCTAACAGTCATGTCTAGACAGACTGTATCAGTGAGTATCCTTTGAAGACTGAACTTTCCAAGCTAAACTGACCCACCACTGCCATGCAGATCTCAAATGAGACACTCATAAAATGAGATGACTGAAAGCAAAAGATTGAGGGTACGAAAAGAACAGTTTGTTTATTGAAAGTGAGAACTATAAGTGTCTTCTCCCAGGATGGAACGCCAACATCAAAAACATTTGAGCACGTGACCAGTGAGATTGGAGCAGAGGAAGCAGAGGAAGTTGGAGTGGAACACTTGCTAAGGTGAGACCCTTGTACAACATCTGAATTTTTTTATTGAAAAGCCAGAATCAGCTGCTGGTTCTGGCCATGAAGTAATGATTCTCCCATTTTGATCTTGTTTAAGACAAGATCTTACTAATGCAACCCATGCTGACCTTGAACTCTCTTCTCCTGCTTAGCCTCCTAAGCACTGGGTACTAGGGTTATAGTTATGTGCTGCCTGCTTAGCCCTTTAGTTTTCCTGTCTCTAAGTTGGAGTGGTCTTATTAGTTCATCTCTAAATATCTTGAGTCAGAATGTGTGACATTGCAGATAGTACATCTTATCCAGAAACCAAACATTGACTGTTGGGAACAGGTGTGTGAGATTCCGGTCTTCGCTCTCCACTGGCTGTCCTTCCAGTGACCAGAGCCTACTTACAGAAGGGATCTTCTTCTTGGGATGGTGTTCAAACACCTTCATGTAATCCTCATTTGAAAAATTCATAGGTAGTGGTTGTGTGTGGTTTTTTTGTTTGTTTGTTTGGGGGATGGTTTTCTTTTTTGCACTGTCTTTTTTGCATATACTGAGCAAGACATACCACTGAGCTCCAGTTCAGTTCTGAAAAGGTCAGTTTTTATCAAGCAGTTTCTTCCCAAAACATGCCATCATCCTTCATGGAACAGTGAAGGAAGTAAAGGTATGTTTGAACATTCCACACTTCCTTTAAGAAAAATGGTTTCCTTTAACTCTGGTATTATAACCATCTTTTGCAAACTGCACTGTGATGAGAAAGTTAAAATACAGACACACATACCCCAAATGACAACAGAACTAAGGTAATCTATGTCTGACTCTAGACAAAGTGAAGTAACATTTTTTTTTCTTTTGAAAATTTACCCCTCCTCTGCCAAACTGGGTGTTTGCTTAGAATGTGAGGCCCTTCGTGGGGATGCAGTAGCCTGATGCTCTTTCCTGCCTTTCTGTGGCTTATCCAGAGACATCAAGGACACCACAGTGGGCACTCTCTCACAGCGGATCACAAACCAGGTCCATGGTTTGAAGGGACTGAACTCCAAGCTTCTGGATATCAGGAGCTACCTGGAGAAAGTAGCCACAGGCAAGCTGCCCATCAACCACCAGATCATATACCAGCTGCAGGACGTCTTCAACCTGCTGCCGGACGTCAGCCTGCAGGAGTTTGTCAAGGCCTTCTACTTGAAGACCAATGACCAGATGGTGGTGGTGTACTTGGCCTCGCTGATCCGCTCTGTGGTTGCTCTGCATAACCTCATCAACAACAAGATCGCCAACCGTGACGCGGAGAAGAAGGAAGGGCAGGAGAAGGAGGAGAGCAAAAAGGAGAGGAAAGATGACAAAGACAAGGAAAAAGACAAGGAGAAGGGTGATGGAAAGAAAGACGAGAAAAAGGAGAAAAAGTAAAACTTGTAGCTTTTTTAATGTGTGAATTAAAATCTTATAAACTAAGTCAGTGTGCCACTAGAGGGTTCTTTTTCACTTTCAGTGCTTGTTAAAGCTGTCTTGGTGAGAGCTCTCTACCACAGTCACTTCATGTGGCATTCCTTGGAAGTGAATGGACACGAACTGATCGGGAACCCAAACCACAGCTTCAGCTCAGGCGTCTTGATTGTATGAGGAAAGCAAAGAGAACTCAGCGTATCACTTTGTACTCTTCATTCTTTGTCCATAAAACCAGGAGTTGAATTTGTTCCCATTTTAAGAGATTCATGGGGTCTGTTTCTGGTGGTTGACAGAATTGCTAAAAGGAATGCCTTGATCCCATATGCTCCCTGCCTCCTGACCCCTTGAGATCTGGCCCTTCTGAACCTTCAGCTTGAGAACAGCACGCCATGTTTTGGACCCACAATGTAGCTCTTGCATTCTCAGGGCTTGGGATCTAGCTCCTTACATTGTTTACCTTCAAAGACACAATTAAATGGCTTGGTTTTTAAGTCTGTGTTCTAGTAGTTTTTGACTTTTGAGAATGGTGATGTGTTCTTTGTAATAGCAAGAAGACAAATCTTCCATTGGAACTGCCTTACATTCTTTCATTTGATTTTCTTCATTTTGTTACTTTTTTTGTTTTGGCAGATCTGGATACAAACTCAGGGCCTTGTGTTTTCAGAGTAGATCCTCTACCACTTGAGCCACAATACCAGCCTTCACTACTTTAGGTTTTTTTTCCCAACAAGGTCTTATATTGTAGTCAGGCCAATCTGGACCACAATCCTCCTATTTATACTTTGCACATAGCTAGGATGACAGGCAGGTGCCATTGTACCTGGGTTTTTATATGTTAAGAGGAAGGTTTGGCCTTTTGCCTGGGCCAGCCTTGACTTTGATCCTCCCAATCTCCTGAGTAGGATGATAGGTATGAACCACCACCATTTGTCCTGCCTTGAATTCTAATTTTGACTTGATATCTTTTAGGAAAGAGAAGCACTCCTGGCACCCATCCCCTAAAACCAGGGGCCTAGTTTGTGTCTCAGATTCCTCATTATGAAGTGGTAGGTTAAAGTAGGACATCTCTGAAGTCCCCAAAACAGAAAAATACTCATTTGCACTGCCTAGAATGTTACTGGGTATACCTATACTAGGTATACCCAGGGCTCCTACTGGGACAAGAAAATAAGTTACTTCATCATTTGATAGAGTAGTCACCTGTATGTTCCTTTTCTTTCTTGAGCAGCTGAAGCTTTAGGTGGTCTCAAGTGCATGGTATGGATGATGGGAAATTTAAGAATATATAAAATAGCACAAAAGGTAAGTCAGTTAAATCTCCAAAACCGTCTCATAAAATTATAGTGCCTGGAAATGATCAGAAACATCTTATTTACATTGTCCATGCTTGCCAAAGGGCTAAAATGGAAAAGTAAACTTATTCTTAAACACCCATGTCAAGTCCTTGAGGCTCATTAAGATTCTGAGATGAAAGGGAAAACCAGAGAAGAAAGTTTCATCTTTCTCAGTTGCATCTAACTGGATAGAAGAAACATGAAATAGTTCAAAACATTAAGACATCCAAGTCACGGGGGTGTTGGAAGACTTTGAGATTCAGGTGCCATGTTTAGAACCTGCTAACATGAGAGAAAGAAGTAGACAGCGGACTTGGTTCCAGGAATGAGAAAGACACAAGTATAGGGGAGAATAGGAGGCCCTGGTCCCTGGGCATTAGACAGGGAAAACATGGAGAGTCACCTAAGGAGTGAGTCCTTCATATAGGGACAAGTGCACTCCTGAATTGAGGCCACACAAAATTCAGGTCTGCCTTTAATAGTGTGAATTAGACATTGAAAGTTTTTCCAGGGCTGGAAAGGTGGCTCTGCAGTAGAGTCCTTGCCTTGCATGCGTGAGGCCCTGGGTTCCATTCCTCAGCACCACGTAAGCAGAAAAGGCCAGAAGTGGCGCCATGGCTCAATGGCAGAGCACTGGCCTTGAACTGAAGAGCTGAGGGACAACGCCCAGGCGCAGAGCTCAAGCTCCATGATTGACAAAAAAAAAAGTTTTTCCAAAGGCTAGTGAAATAGCACTATGCTACAAGCTTTTAAGCTTGTTAATAGTTCAATGGATTTGCATACTTATAGAGTAAGAAACAGGAATGCCCAGGCCTTATTCTGATTAATGTTTGACTCACAGAGGAGCCAAAAGTAACTTGTTTTCTTAATGAAATCTTCATTTCAAGAGAAAAATAGTTTAAGAGGCTAGCAGGGCAACCCCATGGTAGAGTGCTTGTCTAATAAATGAGACCTGGGCTTGATACCCAGCACTGCAAAAAGAAAAGAAAACTGTAGCCCTTAGTGTCAGGCTCATTTTCCAACGTGAAGCTGCTATCAGCATGTAGGCTGATGATGAAGTCTTGCTTATATAAATAACCGTGTGGCTGCAAAACCCAGAGCCTACACCTAAAACATTTATATATCTGACAATATATATCTAGGTTTATATATCTGACAATCTCCAGAGAATTTTCCTAAATAACATTTTTGAAAACACTGGAAAAGGTGTCCTGGAAGAAGTCTGATCCCAAGACTGCATCTCATCACAGCTCCACCTTAGTGTGCCTCCATCCCCATCCCTTCCCACTGACATTAGAATCCATCCTGCTCCAGTCAGACCTTACACATGGTAGCATTCACTCCCTCCTGGTTTTCTGCCTCAGAAACAGCATAAGTATCCCTGAGATGGGTTATACTTATTAAAAAGATGGAAACTCAGGATTGGAGTAAGAACTTGGAGCCAGCCCAATTAATTAAATGCTGCCTCATTTGGCTCAAACCATCAAAACCTAAAGTGACAAAAGGGACATCTTCATTGGTTGGCCTTCCATATTCTCCACAGTGCTACATGCATACATACACTACATAGAAGTGTACTCCAACTTTTGGGCCCTTCAGTATGAAAATTCAAACACATGCAATTATTTCGTTTCTAGCAAATATCTTGACACTGGCCCTCATAAAAGAGGACAATACTATTCACTAGGAAGCTAAGTGCTAGTCGTCTACCACTTTCCTACAAAATGATTTTTTTTTTTAAACCTGATTTAGGGATGTTGATTAAACTACATCATAGCTAAGAAAGCTGTATCTACTCAAACTGGATGGACTATACAAGCTAGGAAGTCAGAGGAATATTTGACATAGGTAACCCATAAGAAAACATTTACCCTTTCCCTAAGCAAATCATGCATAATGCAGCACTCCTTTGCATATGGCCTGACCCAGTCAACTAGTTTGGCATTATCCACTGTTGCCAAGGAACCAACACAAAGATCTTTTCCAGAACTAATAGCTATTTTTTTTTTGCTGGACTAGACAAACAATTGACTCTGAGAATATAAAAAATTGAGGGAATATAAAAAACCGAGGGAAAAGAAGTAAAGACGAAACAAACCATAATGTCAATGTTTCCAGGGCCCAAATAAAATTCCTTTATCATTCTCTAGGGGAGATCTGTTCTTCAACACTAGATGGTGCTGCTAACTGCTCTTAACCCCTTGTCAGGAGAAATGTTTTGTTCCAGTTAGCATAGACATGGGATCCCCCTAAAAACTGCTTCCTCACACTTCTACTTTGAGCTGCAACCATCTAGGTAAGATTTTGAAGGAATTTGGATGGTGTATGAATGCAAAGAGGTTGGGTCAAGCTGCCATAACTACTGTTCAGAGAATGAATGTATGGTAGGTTTTATCTGACCTTTAGATGGCTCCTGCTCTGATATCCTCACTGCTTCTGTCACTTCTCCTTTCTGTGTGTGTGTGTGTGTGTGTGTGTGTGTGTGTGTGTGACAGTGTGTCCTGGGGCTTGCTCAGAGCTTGGGCACTGTCCATGAGCTTTTTTTGCTCAAGACTGGTGTTCTACCACTTGAGCCATAGCTCTACTTCCACCTTTTTCGTGGTTAATTAGAGACAAGAGTCTCACAGACTTTCCTGCCCAAGCTGGCTTTGAACTGTGATCCTCAGACCTCAGCTTCTTGAGTAGCTAGAATTACAGGGATAAGCCATGGATCCTGATTTCTTTATACACCATCGACAGTGAGTGTACTGGTGAACATGTATCAAAAGTTCTCCAAACAGCTAGGTATGTGGATTTGCAGCCATTGCCAATGTCTCTGGTGTAAATACACTACTTGATTCCAAGCGAACACCAGGAGTTGGGACCTGCACAGTTGCAACATTATAAAGTAGTTCCCCCATACAAAAATAGCCTCAAGAGCACGAAATAACAAAATGGTAAAATAATGAGGATATGATGTCATTAACTTTTTCAATTGTTAAGTTTATGCTTTATTTTTTCAATGCCATGAATGCCAGGCAAGTGTTCTGGAGCTGAGTTAGACCCCATCCCTGGTTATGTTTAAACACCAGTTAAATTCCTGGCAGTTTAACAACTAGATCTTGTGAACCTGAACTGGCTCTCAGCCAGTAGCAAAGAACCCCTCCTCCCTCCATCTTCACCAGTCCTGCTTCAATGACCGCTATCCTTATTAGTTAAAAGACCCCAAAACCAAGGTCCAGCCCCTGACAGTTGATTCTACTTTGCACCTGCTTGCTTCTGCTCTTTTCAAGAAAAGTTAACACGGCTCGGGTCTTTAAAACCAACAGCAGCAGAGCATTGAAGGTGATAAATGCCTATCCTGTGCCTGAGGATTCTTCCAGAATAGGGGCATGGAGAGAGGGGGGAGTTGTTGGATTTAGTTCCATTTTTTAAAGCCCTTAATTGAACATTTTAGATCAACCATTCAAAGAGTGAAACCAACCACATCAGAATTAACTATGATCATTACTAAAGATGCATGTTCCTGGGCTCTAATTCAGATCTCTATATTAGAATCCCTGTGGGGAGTTAACAGTGAAAGGGTTTGTTTTTGGTGGTGGTGGTGGTGGTGGTCTTGTTTTTTTTTTGTTGTCATGGGGCTTGAACTCTGGGCTTGGGCGCTGTCCCTCAGCTCTTCAGCTCAACACGAGTGTTCTACCGCATAAGCCACAGTACCACTTCCGGTTTTCTAGTGGTTAATTGGAGATAGTCTCACGGACTTTCCTGCCTGGGCTGACTTTGAACCGTGATCCTCAGATCTCAGCCTCCTGAGTAGCTAGGATTACAGATGTGAGCCACCATGCCAGGCTAGGGGTTTTGGTTTTTTATGGCATTAGGTTTTGAACTCAGGACCTCAAGGGCCTCATGCTTGCTAGGCAAGTGCTCTCATACTGAGCTATGTCTGTCTCCAGCCTTTTTATGTACCGGTTATGGTCTCACTTCCTACACAGGCCTGGAACATAGTCCTCCTATTTTTTGCTTCCCACCATAGCTGAGATGTCAGGCCCATGCCATTGTACTCAGCTTCTTTGACTGAAATGCAGTATTGTGAACAATTTTACCCAAAATTGTTCACAGAACCACTGTCTTCTCAATCTCAGCCTCTTACATGGGCAGGATGGCAGGGGTGTATCATC